GGCACCGATGCAGACAAGGAACAGTGAAAACAGGTTCACAAACAAGTGGTAGACAGTGCTTGTGAGGTGATCAAGCTGAAGGGATACACATCCTGGGCCATTGGATTGTCTGTGGCATATCTGGCAGAAAGCATAATGAAGAATCTCAGGAGGGTGCATCTGATTTCCACCATGATTAAGGGGCTCTATGGAATACAGGAGGATGTCTTCCTTAGTGTTCCTTGCGTCTTGGGACAAAACGGGATCTCAGACATTGTGAAGGTGACTCTGACCTCTGAAGAAGAGGCCCACTTGAAGAAGAGCGCGGACATGCTTTGGGGAATCCAAAAAGAGCTGCAGTTTTAAAGTCTTTGGATAATGTCCTACCACTTCACTGTCTAGGCTACAACAGGGTTTTAGTTGGAGGTTGTGCATGTGGTCCTTTTTAATCTGATCCATGATTAAAGCAGTGAGATCATGATGGCCTAGGGAGGGAAAAAACCATGTTTCCTAAAGTTAGAAATAGAATGGTTTACAAAATCCGACAGCTACATCCAGGTACTGGGTGACACTGACTTTGTGTCATCCTGAGCTGGTCAGCCTAAGATATAGTTCCCCACCTCTGAGGTGCCACTGCCTGTGTTGCACGAGCTCCAGTTGCCCTTCCAACTAGACGTGCATTTACTGTGTGCTACGTAACTTCTGGTCCCTTCACCAAACGTGCTTAGTCCAACTTTTTTTCCCAGTCAGTCATAACCTGGGATCCAATATTGTATAAACTCAATATTGCATGTCTTGTGCATAACTGTTCTAAAGGATCTTATTTTGTGTATTGTATGTATGAGTAGTGTACACTGCACATAATGTAAAAAGAAATATCTACATATAGCAATGCAACCAGCTATCCATGTGTCATACCACCTAAATCACTAAATAAACCTTGAACAGTGAAAAAAAAAAAGAAATACTTGAGGAGCTGGCACTATGGCTTAGCAGGTAAAGCTGCCGCCTGCAGTGCCAGCATCCCATTATGGATGCCGGTTCAAGATCCGGCCACTACACTTCTGATCCAGCTCTCTGCTATGGCCTGGGAAAGGAGTAGAAGATAGTCCAAGTCCTTGTGCCCCTGCACCCACATGGGAGACCCAGAAGAAGCTTCTGGCTCAGCTGGAAGAAGCTCCTGGCTCCTGGCTTCTGATCGGCTAAGCTCTGGCCATTGCAGCCATCTGGGGATTGAACCAGCCAATGGAAGACCTTCCTCTCTCTCTCTCTCTCTCTCTCTCTCTCTCTCTCTCTCTCTCTGCCTCTCCTTCTCTCTATATAACTCTTGCAAATAAAATAAATAAATCTTAAAAAAGAAGTATTTGTAGGTTTTCCTGCTGTGACTAAATGAAAAAGCAGGACTGGGCTTAGAGGGTTACAGCAACACACGGTGAAGGGGAAAGCAATAATGGATCCTAGGATGCTAAGTCACTAACTGAAAAGTGGTGAGCAGGTTCATCCACAGAAGACTTTGCACAGCTTGGAGAACCATGAGGTTTAATGGAGATCCAGAACTAAGCTACTTGTAGATTTTACATGTTGTTGCTGTTATAACTCTTTTGTAAAATAGTTATGCCTCAGCCACTGATCTAATGAAAGTCTGAAATAAGCAGCATAACTCTAATCACTGTTATGAAATTAGTCTAGCTTCCTTCCATTATACCCTGAAACTTTATGAACAAAAATGGAAAAAAAGCTTGTGAATCTAAAATAGGAAATCCTTGGTAGGCAGGTATTATATCAATATTTGTCTTTTTTTTGACAGGCAGAGTTAGACAGTGAGAGATAGAGACAGAGAGAAAGGTTTTCCTTCCATTGGTTTACTCCCCAAATGGCTGCCACGGCTGGCACGCTGCACTGATCTGAAGCCAGGAGCCAGGTGTTTCCTCCTGGTCTCCTATGTGGGTGCAGGGCCCAAGCACTTGGGCCATCCTCCACTGCACTCCCGGACCACAGCAGAGAGCTGGAATGGAAGAGGAGCAACTGGGACAGAACCGGGGCCCCAACAAGCACTAGAACCTGGAGTGTGGAGGATTAGCCTAGTGAGCCATGGCACCAGCCAATATTTGTCTTTGAATGTGAGTGGGTTTCTTAAAAAAACTTTTGAAAATGTTCACTCATTAAAATACATATTGTTATATTTTCATTACATCCAGAAGATAAATTTTATTTTTAACTTGCACTTTTTTAATGCTTTTTAGTAAACAAAATTCTCATAACTAGGTTAATTAAAAGTTGGAGAAATTTAGATAAATGTAGTTATTCCCATTGGCCCTTCTTTTTTAGGGTGAAAAAGCAAATTTTTGTGTACCTGATTACCATTTTATGAAACAAAAATGCAATTTGGGCATAAAGACTTCTTAGTAGTTGTATTATGCTACATGTAGGGAGGATAAAACTATGAATAGTTGTTACAAGGGACAAGGTGTAAGTCATAAACATCTAAAGAAAGAAATATATATACTTAACACTGTGAAATCACTCACCAATAAAGAGTTGAAAAAGGAAATTAGCTTTTTGTTTAAAAGTAAGTATTTTTTTAAAAGATGATTTCTGAAGATATTGATAAACACCAAGAGTTAACACAATAACTTCATGAAAAAATAACTTCCATCAATCTACATACACATAAAATATTCAAATAAGAATTTTAGTCTTCTGGCACATTATCAGTGTACAACTTTGTACAAAAGGATTTATAAATATACCTTTATATGAATGCATACAAAGATATACATAAACATATAAATAGGCTATAATCTCAATCTTTTACCTATAAGTTTAAAGAAACTTATAGGTAAAAAATTTATCAGTATAATAAACAAGCAATACATGTGATATTCATCTTATAATAACTTAATAAGGAGTTAAAAATAATATCTATTATCTAATATACATAGTTATATTTCTAATTATTATACCTAGTGCAACTAAATATTTGTATTAATTCCTATAGTTAACCAAAGGAACCAACTTGTTTCTTCAGACACAGAAGACAACTACAAAACAAGAAATAATGTTGAGACCCATGATTGTGGTGTGAGAGATAAAGCTGTTGCCAGTGATCCCTACAACCCACATGGGTGCTGGTTTGTGTCCCAGTGGCTCCACTTCTGATCCAACTTCCAGCTAATGCACTGGATAAAACAGAGGAAGACGGTTCCAGTGCTTGGGCCCCTGCTACCCATGGGGGAACCTGGCTCCTGGCTTTGGCCCAGTCAGTTCCTGACTATTGTGGCCATCAGGGGAATGAGCCAGTGGATGGAGTATCTCTCTGTCTCCGTGTCTGTCTTCCTCTGTCTGTGTAACTCTTTCAAATAAATAAACTCAATTTTTTTGACAGAGTTAGACAGTGAGAGAGAGAGACAGAAAGGTCTTCCTTCTGTTGGTTCACCCCCAAAATGGCCGCTACAGCCCGCGAGCTGTGCCGATCTGAAGTTAGGAGCCAGGTGCTTCCTCCTGGTCTCCCATGTGGGTGCAGGGCCCAAGCACTTGGGCCATCCTCCACTGCACTCCCGGGCCACAGCAGAGAGCTGACTGGAAAAGAGCAACCGGGACAGAACCAGCGCCCCAACCAGCACTAGAACCCAGAGTGCTGGCGCCGCAGACGTAGGATAAGCCTAGTGAGCCACAGCGTGGGCCTAAACTCAACTTTTTTTAAAAAAAGAATAATTAAGCTATCTTTACTCCATAAACAACTATTTAATATTATTTAAACACTTTTAGGAGATTATATATGTATATCCTCCAAAAACATTTAAAATATATATGGATGTATATATAAAATAATTTATAACGGTATATACCTACATATAAATATATGAAAACGCTAGATATATTATATTCCCAAAAGCTTTTGCAGCCACGTCTCTCTCCTTAGAAGCCCAAGGCCGTCCTGTGATGAACACGGGTTTCCCTCGAGGTCCCAGCAGAGAATCTCAGGGCGCCTCCAGCTGCCCAGCTCACAATGACTGTAACCTAGCAACGCCCTTAAACACAAGTGCGCAAGCGCATCTCCAGAGGGCAGTCACTGCGCCTGCGCACAGAAGTCCGGCGGCCAAGTGTGCTAAGTGCGCATGTGCATGATTCCCACCTGGTAAAACTGAGGGATTAGATGGTTTACAGATGTTGGTGGACTTGACCGAGTGTTGGGGTCATTGTGGGGACCAAACACTGGAGCCTGTGGAAGCCGTCTGCACCGCCCAGGACTCAGGGGCGTGGGATTTCAGGATGCTGAAGGCCTCGTCCGGAGTAGACGCCCTTAAAATCCCTCTCCACAGCTCCTGCTCCTCAGTTTATGCTCCCGCCACGTCCCCCTGAGTCCTGGGCGGCTGCAGTGGGAATTTAACAGATGCGAAGACAAAGTTGTGCTCTGTGATTTCAGAAACTGGCACATGTGCCATCTAGGTCAATCTTAAGAAATCAAAGCAGGCCTTCCAGAAAAAATGTCTTCAGGCCTCTTGCATTTGCCCAGCCTTTACATTTTCTTTACTTTTAGTTTTTACTGTTATTTCCCTTAATTGGATTCTTTAGGTCGATCCATGCATTATTTTGAAACATGGTGTTGTATTTATAAACTTTCTAAAATGAATGTTCACTTGTCCCAAACAGTTCATGATTTGACGGTATGTTAAAATGCCCCATTTTTTACTTGAAATTCCCTTTTTTCCCGTTTCTGGCTTTTTCATTGTGCCCAATTAAATGTTCTGTTTTGTATTCTTTTTTCCTGATCCATGCATTCTTTATTCCCAGCCCCTGTGCCCCATTAAAACAACAGTAGACAACCCAGCAATCACTACAGTCCAGTTGCACCACGATCCGAGGCTTACAGTGCTTTAACGCTTTTAACTTTGAGGGAAAAAAGGAGAAACAAGAGAAATACCCGTATCCGATACAACCCATACCAGCATCCGATACAAGTCATACAGCAATTTAAGCATCTTGCACACCTGATGCCCAGAAGGGCTCCACCCCCGGGGTCAGCGCTCACACACGGCCAGGCCGTGAGAGAGGCCGAGGACCTCATGCTCACCCCAGAACGACCCACAGGTGAGAGGAGACCGGAAATCCCCTCGGTGCTGGGATGGCCAGGAAGCGGTCAGTCTTCCTGGGGTCCGGACAGGCCACGCGCAGAGCGGACGCCAGGGGGCAGCAGAGGACGAGCGCGCGCGGCCCCGCGAGGCCGAGTCCCCCGCGACCGCAGTCCCGGGCTCTGCCTGCAGAGGACGAAGTTCTCGGGACTGGGGCCCTGCCCAGGGCGCAGTACCTGCGGGTCTGCAGGGCGGTTCTGGGGGGCTGGCCGGGCTCAAGCCGTAGACCGAGGAATCCCATACGCTGCATCTGATGCGCGAGCCGAGGCCCACATGGAAGCTGACATCTGGCCCTGGTCCCCCGCGTCCCCGTGGGAGAAGAGCCGCGCGCAGCGGCTGCAGGGCGGGCGGGCCACCAACCTGCAGCCCCGCGGGTCGTGCCTGGCCGGGGGCGCGAAGAACACCTCGGCCGCGTCCACCTCGCGCTGCCGGTGCCGCCAGTCGCGCGCGCGCTCGCTCGGTGCAGGCTGCAAACTCTGGGATCTGCGCCGGGCCCTCCTTAGTCTGCAGAGGCAGGGGCTGGAGCCGCGGCGGCCGCTCAGGCCGGTGACCCTGGGCCGCGCCGCTCGTGCACAAGCTCGGCGTAGGTGGGTTTGGCGGCAGGAAGGCCGGCTTGGCGGAGCTGATGCTCGGGCAGGGAGGGCAGTAGAAGAGTCGCCGCAGTTCTCCTAGCGAGATGCCCATTCATCCTGGGGCCTGGCATCAGGGCGGTCTGGCGCCTGCCGCTGCAGGACAAGCAGGGCACAGGGCGAGAGGCAGGGAGGCGGCCCGAGCGTGCGTGAAGGGCAGTGCAGCCCTCCCAGACTGCATCAGACGGAGGCGCCGTCCCGGATGGTCAGTGCTCCAACTCGGTACTCTAGGGGCGGTCATTGTGGCCTTGCCGGGAAAGCCGTGGCCTATCACGCTGCATCCCATGGGGCGCCGGTCTGTGTCCCTGCTGCTCCACTTCCGATTCAGCTCCCGGCTGATGTCCTGGGAAAAGCAGCGGACATGGTCCACGTGCGTAGCCCCTGCCACCACGAAGGAGACCCGAATGAAGCTCCCGGCTCCTGGCTGCCTCCAGGCTGGGCCCTGAACATTGTGGCCATCTGGGGAGTGAACCGGTGGATGGAAGATTCTCTCTCTCTCTCTCTCTCTCCCCCCCTCCCACCCTTCCTCATTCTCTCCCTCCCTCCCTCCCTCCCTCCCACCACCCTTTTGCTCTACTTCTCCCTCCTTCCCTCCCTCCCTCATTGTAACTCAGTGTTTCAAATGAGTACTAAAATGTTTGCTTATCTACAAAACATGCAGTGCACTGGAATGAGTGTTTGGAACACTGGTTTAGATGACATGGATGCCCTCAGCCCATACAGGACTCCCTGGGGTCCTGGATCGAGTCCAGGCTCCTGTTTTCTTCCTGGACCACATCCCATTTGTGGCTGGCACTTGGGGAGTGGGCCAGTGACAAGATGATCTCTTTCTGTGTCTGTCACTCTCTGCTGCTAAAATAAAATGAAAGGATAGAACATGTTAACATTTAAAAGTCTGCTACAGTTAGAAAGCTTTCACCTGTATTTTTCTCTTTCAGGATTCTCTTGGCAATATTGATTATTATTTGAGATGAATTTTAAGTCTATGCAAATTGTTTATTCTATACAAATTTAATGAAAATGTTTTGAGATTTTATTTATTTTAAAGATTTATTTTTCAAACTCATAGAGAGAGAAAGAGACAGAGAGAGCGAGCTTCCAACTGCTGGTGCACCACCCAGATTGGACAATGGCCAGCAATGGGCCAGGTGGAAGCCAGGAGCCAGAAGCTTCATCGAGGTCTCACACATGGGTAGCAGGGGCCCAAACACTTGGACCATCATCCACTGCTTTCTCAGGCCACTGAGCAGGGAGCTGGATCAGATGTGGAACAGCTAAGACTCGAACCAACTCCCACATGGGACGCTGGTGTTGTAGCTGGTGGCTTTATCTGCTGTGCCACAACACCATCCCCAGGCTCTGAGATTTTGATTGTGATTGAGTCAAGAGCAGTATTTTAGCTGAAAATCGACTGGCTCCCTCTATCCAGACAAATGTCTCCATCTTTGTCCTGTTTCTTAAAAACTGTTTGGGAGGCAGGGAGCAATTTGGAAGGAGTGGGTGCTCGTGGGTTTTCAGTTGCAGACATTTTTGCCCCATTAATAACTGGGGAAGAGCGAAGTTGTTAGAATTGCCTCATGGAAGACTTCAGCTAGACACGGAGGGGCCTTCCAGGTGATCAGGCTCTATATGATCCATGGAATATATTGATTAGGAACATCGACTCCGGGACAGGCATTGGGCCTAGTCATCAACATGCCGTATTCCAGGGCTTCCTGGAGTGGGAGACAGAGGCAACCACAGGGCTGGAGCTGGCCTTGGACTTGACCCCCAAGCCCTTGGAGCCTAGCACCATGCCGGAGTGCCCTGCTGCGAGTAGGACGTGCTGTAGGTGGGAGAGCCCTCCATGCATGTCCTGGAACTGCTCCTGGAGTTGTACTGCAGCGCGCTCACATCGCAAGCTGCCTGGGCTGCATCTAGGCGGTGCCTGGAGCTGCAGGCAGCCCAGCGGGTCCTGCATTGCGCTGTAGCTGTCCACGCGCTGGTTTGCGCCTGCGCTCAGGCCGGCACCCGCCCCCCACCCCGCTCACCTGCTGTGGCCGCTGGGTCCAGCAGCCTGCCAGGCAGCGTGCACTGATCCTTCTTCCTGAGCGTCTGGGTTTTTCACCGGGGCCGAAATTTATAACCCTGTGCTCCTCCACGTGCAGCGCTCGCATCCGCTCGGCCTCGTCGGTGAACGCCCGCTTCTCCGTCTCCCACAAGGGTTTCCACTCGGCGCCCAGGCGCTTGCTGATCTCCGAGTTGTGCATCGCGGGGTTCTCCTGGGCCATCTTGCACCGCTGACCGCAGGAAGGTGTTCATGGGCCGCCTGACGCGATCTGGACTGTTGTGGTTGTCGCCTCCCCCCCCCCCCCCCCCCCCCGCGCCCTGAAGTCTGCCGCGGGCCCCGCGGCTCGGCTCTGTCTCCATCCTGCTGTACCTGCGGGCGCTGTGTGTGCGCGGGCCCGGAGGCTCCGGCTCCGTCTCGTTCCTGTTGCACCTGTGGGCGCTGTGCGCGGGCCTGGCCCGACCCTTGGTGGCTGGGACTCGGGGTCTGCGGGCGGGGCGAGAGGAGGAGGGGAAGGGGCAGAGGTGCTGTGAGCACCTCCTCGGGGCTTCCCCAGGAGACCAGATGAGGAGAGATTTGGGGAAGAGAGAGAGGGACTGAGAGACTGGAATAGGGATCAAAAAGCAGCGCTTCCCTCTGTCTCCAGCAGGTGCCACCGCCACCACCACCAACTGTCGTTGTTATTATTATTATTATCATTATTACTGGAAAGGCTTTTCGTTCTCTTCTTTCTCTCGGTCTCAGTCTTAAAGAGGCAGCAAACTACTTTCCCCTTTTGCAAACACTCTCTTCTATGCCTTGACAACTCCTGATACATTTTGGAACAGGCTAATAAACAACCATCTTCTATTGTCGTTATGTTTGTTTATATATAACAGGAAGAATCTGTGAGGCTTGAATCGGCAAAGGTTCATACCTCTGGGGATGGAGGCATACATAAGTCTCAACTAGTGTCCTGATTCCCAGTGCTGTCTCTGCCCGTGGCATCTGCTTTCTTTACTCTCATCTACCCAGACTAAGAGGGCTTGTCTGCCTCTGACCAGTGGTTTGCGCTTTGGCCAAACCATGGAGATAGAAAATTCACCATCTTTCGGTTCTCATGGGGTTTTCTGTGGATAACACGAATATTTTTCAACCTGAACACCTGCTTCGGTCACGTTTTTCAGCACGGCGCTGTGTGCGCTCGTCCTCTGCTGCCCTCTGGCGTCCGCTCTGCGCGTGGCCTGTCTGGACTCCAGGAAGACTGACTGCTTCCTGGCTGTCCCAGCACCGAGAGGATTTCTGAAGTCTCTCACCTGCTGGTCCTTTGGGGGCGAAGCTGAGGTCATCGGCCTCTCTCTGAGCGCTGACCCCAAGAGTGGAGCCCTTTTGGGGCATCAGATTGTAAAATGCTTAGAATTGCTCTAATACTTGTATTGTTTTGAAAACTTTTATTTAATAGATATAAATTTCGGAAGTACAACTTTTGGATTATAGCGGTTTTTTTTCCTCCATAACCACCCTCCCGCCCACAAACCATCCCATCTCCTACTTCCTCTCCCATCCCATTCTTCGTTAAGATTCATTTTTAATTATCTTTATACACAGATCAACTTAGTATATATACTAAGTAAAGATTCCAACAGTTTATACCCACATAGACACACAAAGTGTAAAGTACTGTTTGAAGACATTTTTTACCGTTAATTCTCAAAGTACAACACATTAAGGACAGAGATCCTACATGGGGAGTAACTGCAGAGTGACTCCCGTTGTTGATTGAACAATTGACACTCTTGTTTGTAATGGTTGTGGGTATGGGTTGGGGGTTTCTTTGTCTTGATTTCTCCTTTTTTTCCTCAAAATTAAAAGCTTTAAAGCACCATAAGCCTCGGATCGTGGTGCAACTGGACTGTAGTGATTGCTGGATTGCCTACTGTTGTTTTAATGGGGCACAGGGGCTGGTAATGGAATAAAGAATGCATGGATCAGGAAAAACAAGAATAAAAAGCAGAACATTTGATGGAACACAATGAAAAAGCCAGAAACGGGAAAAAAGGGAATTTCAAGTAAAACAATGGGGCATCTTAACATACCATCAAATCACGAACTGTTTGTGGGACAAGTGAACATTCATTTTAGAAAGTTTATAAATATTACACCATGTTTCAAAATAATGCATGGATAGACTAAAAATCCAATTAAGGGAAATAACAGTAAAAACTAAAAGTAAAGAAAATGTAAAGGCTGGGCAAATGCAAGAGGCCTGAAGACATTTTTTCTGAAAGGCCTGCTTTGATTTCTTAAGATTGACCTAGATGGCACATGTGCCAGTTTCTGAAATCACAGAGCACAACTTTGTCTTCGCATCTGTTAAATTCCCACTGCAGCCGCCCAGGACTCAGAGGGACGTGGCGGGAGCATAAACTGAGGAGCAGGAGCTGTGGAGAGGGATTTAAGGGCGTCTACTCCTGACAAGGTCTTCAGCATCCTGAAACCCCAGGCCACCTGAGCCCTGGTCAGTGCAGCACGAGTGTTTTATTCCCACAATGACCCCAACACTCGGTCAAGTCCACCAGCATCTACTACCCTCTGGAGGCGCGCTTGCGCACTTGTGTTTAAGGGCGTTGCTAGGTTACAGTTATTGTGAGCTGGGCGGCTGGAGGCGCCCTGAGATTCTCTGCTGGGACCTCGAGGGAAACCCGTGTTCATCACAGGACGGCCTTGGGCTTCCAGGGAGAGAGGAGTGGCTGCAAAAGCTTTTGGGAATATAATATATCTAGTGTTTTCATATATATTTATATATAGGTACATACCATTATAAATTTATTTTATTTATATATACATCCATATATATTTTAAATGTTTTGGAAGATATATATATATATCCTTAAAGTGTTTAAATAATATTAAATAGTTATTCATGGAGTAAAAATAGCTAAGTCTTTCTTTTTTTGAAAAAATTGAGTTTATTTATTTGAAAGAGTTACACAGAGGAAGACACAGAGACAGAGAGGTACTCCATCCAC